TTTTGCAAAGGAAATTGTTGTTCAGAATCGTCTCAGCTATCCCCTATTTCCGGCTCCTCCCCGAGTTTTGGGACACCCTGTATAAGAGAAGCAAAGTAAACCACGATGGATAAACTGTAAAATAAATTCGTAAATAATCCGAATAGGGTTAGAATCTTATTTCTGAAATGGGGGATTGAACGTGGTTTTAATCTGAGTATCGAACGGAAGTGGCTGTTAATTGGAAGGAGCTTAATTTAAGAAACTAAAAGCCTTCTAGAGAACCCAGGGTGTACGTGACGAAACTAGTGAAAGTGTCTTCGCACCCTTTATTTATCTGTGTCTGGTAAACACTCAAAGAGTTAGGAGAACTTTTTAGAGAGAAATTGCATCTGTATATCACTCGAACGTAATCTGAAAATGGTTCAACTTTAAATATTCTGCTTGAATTCTGGTTTCTTCTTACAATTATAATTACATTATACTTGGTTCATTAGAGAAATTTTAACAATCACCAACAAGGCTCGTAGTCACGTAACGAATTTAACTTTTTCTCTCACGTATCCAACGTTGTACGAAAAAGATGTTGTAGTGTAAAAGATGGGGCACAAGTTTCGAGTAGGCGATTGTTATCGCCATCGTCGATGTACTCCGTAACAAAAGTTTCAAGTTTTTATCTTCCACGGTGGTTATCGTGGGCGCGCGTGACGTGAATTCCAGACGAAAACTTTAGGAAGGTGCACGTTTATTCGGGGTGAAGCAGTCGAGTTTTTCGGCGTCCAATAATCTGTACAAAATTTAATAAAATTAATTTTTTACTTTTATGAAGCGAAGCTAATTAAAAAGCAAGTCTCTCGACGTTTATTCTCTACCCTCGAGTGTGAATTCGAACGATGTTTCTACACTCGAGTGATGTTTCGAAGTTTCATCCACGAAGAGTGCGTCCAGAAGTGTGTCGCAAGGTTGGGGTTGATCGATGTCAACGCTTCTGCGAATAGTCGAAATACGGAGACCCACCGCGAATCATTGAATATTCAAGTGTTCATTAGCTTGGCGTAGCAGCCAATAATTGACTACACGGCGATACACTGACAACCCGCGGCGAAGTAAAGCTGATTAGTACAACGAACTGGTAGTTCCTGCGCAACATAATATTTCGTCGGTCCGTGGCGGAAGCGGATTGGAGATTGATTCAAGCTGACGCGATTAGCTGAATATATATATGTGTATGTATATATATGTATATACATACATATATATCGTGAGCCGTGATCACGTTAACGCTGAATTACACCGATCCGAGAAAAGCTGCTTTCAACGAGTCTAGCGCGCGTCGAGGACGGAACGATGTTCACCTGAACAAACTCGTTCCTCGTTAGCGAGAGAGCTCATTAAGGCTTTCATGTTCCTGTGGTCACGTTTTGTGCCTAGCGTAGCAACATGGATTTAAAAAAAAAAGACGAAAGAAAAAAGGGGGAAAAGAAGAAGAGGAAGTTAACAAAGACGAATACGTCACAATACTCTCCGACGCGTTATGGCGCATTATTGTACAGGATTGGGAACAAGCGAATATTATCAAAACAAAATTGAAACAATACGAGGAACCAGACGGTCGATGGAATTGTTAGGGGAAGTGAAAAAAAGAACAGGTTTTTCGAGAAACTGAACGACTGTGACATAAGCATTTGTACCAGAAGAAATCCTGGTAACGTGAGTATCCTGTATAGTCTTGGTTTTGTAGTGTGACATGGGTTGCGATAACAACGCTCTGGGGATTTCCCCTCAGAACTCTTTCTGATACCATAATGAGATTCACTCTTCTTGCACGCAACCAAACATATTCTCTTCAACATTCAAAATCGTGATCACGATATTTTAAAATGCGCCCCTCATCTTTGTTTATAGATCCCCAAACGGCACGAAACACGATCGCGCGAAGTGCACGTTAAGATCCATCATCGGCGCGAAACGATGGCCGGTATATTCGTATCCATTTTTCATCGTCGTGTCCTCTCGTTACATAAAATATCGCGCCACGTCAAGTTTCAATCGCGTACAAAATAGCAGGTGCGGCGTGTGTGTGTAGATATTCTTTTTTTTACTTCTCTTTTATTTTTGTCGAGGCCATTTTTCAGCGTCGTTTCCTTCTTTTTTCCACCTCCCATCCCGGTTCGACGGTCGGTCGGAATCAGCCTACGCGTAGGATCGGGATCAGCGATACGTCGCGTCGGCCGCGTCTCACCGGCGGTGACAATAAAAAACGGATAAAATTTTCGCGCTCGCGAACCGGCGAGGAAATATCGTGTGTTGTGACACAGGGATTGCACTGTATGACGCTGTGCTAATTGCACCCGCGGTGTTGTACGAGAGACAGCTTTTTATGCCGCGACTGGTAATGACATCCGCCCCGCGCAGCTGACCCTCCATTATTTCCCGCCGTGGCGCTTTCCTATCGAATCCCCTTAGCCAGGAGCGGCCGTCGACGCGTATTTATCTTGCTTTCGCGAGTTTCGAGTTTCCCGCGCCAAACATTGGCCCCGTTCTGTCCCGGTTCCGTCATAAATGCCGGTTTGCCCCGAGCAATAATTCCGTCAAACCCTTGACCGAATATAATGAATATCGAGAACGAGAATCGCGTTTCGGCGTGCACCGTGTTATGGTGTTGTTCCCAGCGCAACCGCTGTACTATTGTGCTGTGGAAAGAGACGGTTAGTAGAATTGTTGTCGGTAAACGCGTTTACCGAAATAATGGGGCGTTGCGTTTCAATTTTGGACAAGGAGTGTGTTTTTGGAGTAATCGAAGGGGTGGATGGATAACGGTGCTGATGTTTGTTGACAAATGTAGGTATTCAGGGGAAGAAGGTTCTGAAAGGTGGTTTTCATTTATAGCTGGCCTCTTAACACGTTGATTGCAAGACTAAAACTCACGAAACTTCTATAGCGTTAAAGTTTTGTCTCGAGTCTACAGAGTGTCCCAGCCTAAGTGATATAGAGCTCTGACTACAAAACTATCGGCCGAATGCAAAATTTCACATATGGAAATTGCATGGTAAGATGGGGATCATGTTTCAGCGCGAAGAGGCATTTTTGTTAACTTTGTTATTTAACGTGATATGATGGTCAAGTTTCGTTTTCCAAATGGAACTATATATTTTTTTTTTTTATATTAAATATCCACGCAGAGTGGATGCTCTTTATCTGAATTTAATTACTCTTTATCCAACCATCTGTTACTAAAAAGTATTCTAAAAATGATATAATAGACTCGTGTTGACAAAATCATTGTATCGCAAGTCCCTTCAATCACTTCTAAATATCTGGGAAGAATTAATCAAATTTCACAATTGTGTCTAAGAATTTACACTTGTAACGCGCGGCACTACACGCATTCACTTTTTCGTGAGGTATTTATTACGATTTGAGTTGGTATCCTGTTTAAACATCGACAAACAATGTCTACAATACCAATTCCCTCTATTTTTTATTTCTCGAGCTGCACAATAAATTCGTGAACCTCGGTAAACCTAAAAAATTTCATCCGTAAAGAAAACATTTCGATGGTTTTCATCAATTAATCGTCCCTTTCCACGTATCGTATGCATCCATCCCAATCTATTTTTCCTTCCAACGAAGTCTATTTGCGCAGTAAAAATAGAACAGACATTACTCGACTCGCGGCTTTATAAATGGCCTTAAACCGAACGAAAAACAAACGCCGTGATGTTTCATTCGAATCGATATAAATATCACGCGTGGATGAACGTCGAAGGAAGCAAAAGAAAAGGCCGAGTGTCGAGGATTTACGTCCAAAATAAGACGGAGAGGCACTTCTCCGGGATCTAATAAGAGCCAACTTAGCCGTGAAATTTTATTGTACTACGAAAAAGCTTCCAGTGCTGACGGGGTGGTTTCGTCGTGCCATACGTTACGGCTACGCATGAATGCTCGTTGAACGCACGTGTGGGTGGTGCGTAATATAGGACAGCGGACCACAACCACCGGATACCTATGTCGTGGAGACTGAATGACGAGGGGTGGACGGATGAGCGAAATAATGGTTTTTTGGGGCGGGGTTGCGTTGGACGCTGAAATATGTAACTTGGCGGTGACCGCGCATTAACGAGAATGAGATTTCGTATTAAAGGGTAATGCGAAATTGTCATTTAAATTCTCGTTTGGAGCTTCGTTATGAATATCAATTTTAAACATTCGTTCATTTATGCGCTGCCCCTACTCGCGAACATTCAGGGAAACTTTCTTATACGAGTTTCTCCGCTTCCCTTTTTATTTTCGCTGTGCAAGCAATGCTGCGTTTTAACCCCTTCGGATCTGGCGTGCATTGTAACGTGGAATGTAATATTATTCTTCGCCGTGGAGGTATTTGTTTGTGTCGAATCACCGTGATTATTGAAAGTCAGATAAATATCGCATACGATTCTTAAGTATCCTTTTTGCCCCAAAGAAAAGAATTCAGGTCTGGAAATGTTAAGTCAACCCCATTTGCGATAGTACTCCGCGTTCTAAAAGAAGAGATGATTCGATGGAATGCAGAAATAGGATTTCGCCTCTATTTCGAGAGGGACTCTGTAGACTCTTTCAACGTTAACCGATTGGGACATGTTGGTTCAGAGGACTTTGCATTGTTCTTATATCCGTTTCCATTTCGTTCGCTGGCTACGTTCGATTCTGTTCTTGGACGAGAGTTTAGTTTCGAGACGAACACATTTTGTCGGGAGGAACATGCAGTACTTTTTTAAAATTTATGTTCGAGGTGAGCTCATCGATTTTATATTATATACCGAAGTATATTAAAATATTCGTACGTTTAAAACAATATTTTTATTGTAAAATGTTTCTTCTTCACATAAAACTTTGGATTGTTGCCCGAAATGTCTTGGTTTACAGTTAGATGAATCTTTACACTAGAAATGAGTTGATGAATGGTATCGTAATTATCAAAATTCACATATGTATCTCAATCTTTTAATTCAGTTATTTTTATTGTCTCAAAAAGTAGAATAATTTGAGACAGAAAAGTTAATCTACTTCACAAGTCCTTGTACATGCACGTATAAAACAATACTAATTCACCTTCAAGGTAATGCTCGTAAACTTATGCGAATAAAATTTACAAACGTGTATCACGATTTCGTGAGACTAGAATTTAATCCTCTATAAAAAATAATCGAACAAGAAGACTAACAAATGTAACGTGCTGTAAATTAGGTAAAGCAATAATATGAAATTAACCGAAAATAGTATCCTGTTTTCGTGTTGATCTTCCATCGTTCCGCGCGAGGATGTGCAAAAATCCCTGAAAACAAAATTTAATGAATGTTCTGCGGATTACTAAATACAACAAAAGTTCACTTCATTTTTTGAGCAGAAAATCTTCCAGATATATATAAAACGACTGCTATATATAGACAACTGCTTCTATTTCTCATGAATTTCGTTCGAATTAGAACTTTTATTATGATATTTCCATTTCACCTGCTTCAATGAAACCCATCGAAAAAGTCGTTTCAACCTCAGAACTGTTTCGACCCCTGGTTAAAACTATTAAAGATAAAAGTTACTTGTTACTTCCACACCTGTACAGCTAGCTTGGCGTTTTTGATCGCGCCCGCGTGGCAAAATCTTTCGATCATTCGTCCCGTGATACCGTTCAAAGGCGATCTAACGGTCGTTCGTCTCGTCATCACAGTTTTGTTCGGATCGAAATAGCTGGGTATGTACACGGTTGTTTCCGAGGCGACCACCAGCTTTCTGTGATCGTGGTTTCTCGTTAACGAGATCAAACGTTTCGCGCACAGATCGATGCTAGCCTCCTCCAGTATCACTACCTGCGAACACTCGCAGCATTGAAAAGAGGTACGATCTACCCAGCCGATGGAGAAGTTTCCAAAATGCAATGAATACCTGAGGTTTCTTAACGATTCTTTGGATCCAATTGGGTAACGGGGTCGTCGCGGTTTTGCAGAAGATTCTCTTGCTTAAGTATTTGCCATCTTTAACTTCTTGGTGCACCGTGTCCTCCGACACTACGTGACGAGCATAGGGATTCGGGTAACGTCCAAAGAAAGCTTTGCACACGGCCAGCCAGCAATACGGAAGGATCGTTATCTCTGCGCTTTCTTTCATTGACTGAAATTAAAATGTGGTTGTTAGTTTCCTCGATGATAGAAAATTTAAGTGGGGTAAGGAAAAATAGCAAATCTTTCTGGTTCGAGGGATGGTGCGAGAGTAGAGAGTTCCTCCTTCGAGAAAATAATCACTTCTAACTCGTACTTAAAGGTTACTACTGGTTTAACAGTTTCTTTAGAATATTACTTTCTCATTTTCCAATTTCTCGTTTCCTGTATATTTATACGATATGCCTCAATGTTTCCATTTAACGAGCGTATGATACTACGTGTATATTATTTTACGTAGCGAAAAAAGCCTTGACAAAAGAGTTGTTACTCTTCTATATTTTCCATATTGGCTTATGGAATACGCTCCACCGATTGAAGCTTTGAATTCCCATCGTAGTTCCCCGTTTCGCCGTTGCATACATCGAGTTTCGAATATTTCGACGCAGCTGGATAAATCTAAGCAAATACGAGAGGTCGCAAAAAGTTTGCTTTTCTGTAGTTTTATTTTGATCCGTTGCTATTCATACCAATCTATTGAGTTACCGACGCTTGCTCGTTCATTCGCACTCCCCCTCCTCCCCCGCTCCCCCCCCGCCCAACCCCCTTTCTTTCATCCCCCTTATTCTTGCAATTCATTAGTGAATCGTCAGGTGCTCCATAAACAATAGAGGTCTCCTCATTAACGTAACGTCAATGATAATAACGCTTCCACGATTTTAAATGCCCCGTATCATTTTGTTTGTCGCGGACAATGACGATTACTTGGCTCGTAAAATTACGCGCGAACGCGGAATTTTCTATTTGAAACGTACAACGGTTTGTTAAGTTTGCATTTACACTCAAGATACTGAATGTTTATTGTACTAACGAGGTTCCAGGCATTGTGGAATATCGTCCTCTTGTATTGAAAATAAAAATCCGTTTAAGTAATTAGAGATCGTATGCATTTCTTAAATGTAATAAGGACAATATTACAATAAAAATGACGTACATCGAGATTTATGTGGCGAGTTAATAAGGAACATCGAACGTTCTGTTTGTTTCTTTCCTTACTGTTTTATCACGTAGCTTTTGCCGTACATGTCTTTTTGATTGTGTTTGTATCGATACTACACTTACGTCTAATTGTAATTTTCTTATTCAAAAAAATTCAGACATGAAACGTAACAATTCGTGAGCATAGAAATTAACGTCGAATAAAAAAATTGAGAAGTAAGCTGGCCAAATAGAAATTTTAATTGAATTCATATTGCGATAGTTACGCTTCACATTTGATTCATTGTAATTTGTTGACATCGAAAAGTGACTGTGGAAATCGCGATTACACGAATAACCTAAACCTATTCGACTCGTGGCAGCGGTGATGACTTTGCTAATATTAACAATTACGAGCCGCACGTTTCGCGGTTCAATCAATTACAAATCGGTGGCAATTATCGACTACCTTCTATTTTTACCTTCAGTTCGGAATTATTTGTATGCGTTCCTCGTGCAGGCTCGTTTACGTCGATTCATTTTGACACGAGCTTTTCCACGCTCGTGTTCTTCTTTTGTTCGAAGAAGAAGGGGGACCGTCGCGCTGCGCGCTAGATTTCATTCGTGGCGCGACGCAAGTAGGTGACTGATTTCAGCGAGGTGTGCGCGTGGGAAAATAATCGATAAGTAGTTTCTTCTCATGTTTCTTTCATTTTAATTATCAAGGTGATAGATTAACAAATACGAACATTATAGTTCTGTTCGGTTTTCTATTAAAGTATAGGGTGTTCCAGAATCAGTGTAAGAACTGGAAATGGGGGGTAGCTGAGACGATTCTGAACCATAATATCCTTGCAAAAATGTCGGATACAAAAACGACGTGCACTACATTTGTATAATTTCATGTATAATTCTCCTCAAAAAACTATTAAAAGTCCTAGGTTGAAAATAAATTATTTTAGAAAATATCAATCTTTTTCCGATTTTTCTGAGAAATCGAACACTGCGTGACGCCTCCCAGCGAGTTATATTAGACCGTTCTGGTACACTAGACCCGTTCTGGTACACGCGTCGGTGAATTTTTTGCCAGCGCAAGTGGTTAATGAAAAACCACCGACTGATCGGATCAGTCTCTCGTGGCTCGAATAGCGGGATCCTATTCATCCCTAAATTACAAAATAAGATTTGGCGGTGGTAATTCTCCGTATCACCAAACAGGAATCCTCGCAATGGTTACTAGTCCTATGTTAAGAAACCGCTGGTTTCCAGGTTCCCCGCCAAGTTCGCATAAATTTCGCGAAGCCGCAACATCCGGGGAGCACCTCCGTTAACGTCGTTGTCGAACTCGAGGACGTGCAAATTCGCTTCCCAGGCGGGATTGTTTCGCGTTAAGCCGTATAACTTGGACGGTCGCAACACGATAGCAGGAAGCGATCGTACCGGCGAAGATCCGCGGAGAGAGCCGTAACAATTACCGAGGCCGCAGCCGAAGAAGAGGCTCCGGAGGTTTCGTCGTCGGTGTCTAAGCCGCGTTCATTACTGTACCGACAATCAAGCTGCACCATGGTCAAGGGGGCGGGAAAGGGCGGTCGAGGGGCAGCCAGGGGTCAGGCGAAGGGAGTTAGGGGTGGTTTAAGCGAGTGTAGCCACGGCGGTCAGGCTTGTAATCTGACGGCGGCTGGTCGTTCGGTTGGTCGGGGTAAAACGGTCCATTAAGACCGGGTAGCAGTTAGTGGCCATGCTATAGGAAGCAGTCAGCTTACTAATGCCAGGCCTGGGAAATCCCCGTAAGGGCTGTTAGTCCTGGGGCTTGCTCCTCACCTACGCGAAACTTTGGATTTCGGTGCGACGCGTACGTTTTTCTTCGGTTTGTCCAAACGACCATGCGTCATGTCCGGTTGTCCGTTAGGTTCCGGCCTCAATCACGTCTCGAATGAGTCCTTTCATCCTTGGATGTCTACGCGTGTATTGTGGGATATTATTCCTGGTCACTGTGCGCTCCCGATCAATACCTTGAACTGAGCATTCAAATCTGCTGGGGTATCTAGGAAACACTTGTCCTTTGTATTGGTTGGTTTCTTGGTCTTACTTGGCGGTCTCACTTGGCGAGACATTGAGGTGTGAACGTATAGCGATGAATATTGGTTACTTATGAGTTCAATTTTCCAAAAGGAGGATTTTTTACAAGGTGTTCGGTAACTGGTGGTACAAGCGAAAAGGGCAGTTAAAATTAAATACGTACAACTTGTAATAGAACTTAAATTTCTATGAACTCTTTCAAACGTATTCGATTAATTTAGATAATAATAGTAAGATAATAGGTAAGAAAAGATTTTCGTGACATTGAAAACGTTTATCAACATAACTTCAATCGAGACAATGATCTACAGTGAGATCCGTTGTAACGATACATGATCAAATGCACACGTACCCGGCGAAAATTCAAAGCTGATTTTCACGAAAACAAAGGCTCACATGAAAAATTTTTATTCTATATTTTCGACTTATTTTTTCATTTAGAGTCACCCTCCTTACCGCTTGTACCACCAGTTACCGAACATCCTGCCTATTAATACGGAATAATATCGTACACGTCAGTTCCCTCAAATCGAGAGCACTGTAAGTCACCCAAAAACATGGTCGATACGGTTCGATAGGCTGGATTAATGTCCTAATCCGAGTGGATGTGTTTAGGATTCCGAGTCTGCGATAAACTCCGTTCAGGCTCCGAGTTTCCTACCCGTACATCAAGTCGAATTGATTCCTGGTCTTTTAGGAGAAAGTCTCTAACTCTGGCAGCGATCAAACCCTCGTCTTCCTTCAGGCTGGCGACTTTCTTTTAAAAGAGTCCCAATCAATTTCACACTTAGTCGAGTTATTAAATTAATTATCATTACGTAAACTATTTGTAAATGGATTTTCGCATAAATAATACACTAATCTGTATTATAACGGCTATTTGTATAAGCATGGATAGTAAATTTGGTCCCGAGTCTGTGACAACCTGATAGCACTATGTATCGCGTCGTTGGTACACACGGAAAGTTTGCGTGCTGTTTCCTATGAAACGTGGTATTCCATCATTTCCCTGACTGGGAATCACGTCAGACACGACTTCTCATTTTACGCGAGTAGAGAAACGGGAGATGGAGTGGCGGAGTAACCGATACGTTGGGGATAGTGCCCTGTGGTCTGGAGAGACCAATTGATTTTACGCCAACTGTTGTACAGCGCTTCTGCGGCGTTAATACTTGAGATATCTTCAAGTTAAAGTAGCTTTTTGTATTTGTTGGCTTCTCGAATTTGTCTTTTGCACGAGTTTGAATGCGAACTCGATGGGTAGACGGCTTGGTGGAGTGTTAATTCATCTTCCATTGGCCACCTTTGAAGAATACTGTTTGTTTGAGAGTTTGAAAAACTTGATAGGGGAAAAAGATTGCTTAGGCAGGGAAATTAAATACGTACAACTTGTAATAGAACGATAAATGAACGTTTACAATATTTTTAACAAAACAAGTCTCGACAAATTTCAGAAATTTCAGTCAGGTGAAAACAAATAAGAACAGTCCCATAAATATTCGTACCCTCTATGTCTATTGAAGAAATTTGTTTAAATTAAATGGTATGTTTAATGTTTCCAAGTGTATGTTTGTATAAATACGTTGGTGTATATATAAATATAAGCTTATTCGTATACATATTTATAATGAAAAATTCATTTGGTATTATCGAAACACTTAGTTAATTTAGTCAAAGTTCTTCGATAGACATAGAGGCTACAGATATTTATGGGATCGACTGTAAATACTACAAAATACCTGAATTAGTAGTTTCTCCAAAGCAAAGTTTGGTTACAAGTACAAATTTGGAAATACCGGATACTTAGCGTGTTAAAAGTGCTACATGTCTACTAATCTTCATCTCAGTCTAGCCATTACTTCTCATGCAACAATAACGAAGAAGTTCTCCTCATTTCTGCGTCCAAAGCACCCAACCGGTCCCTTGACAGACTTAAAGGTACGCAGACCTAAGATACCCAAGTTTGCAGGCACCCGTATGATGGAGCGGTTATCGCCACGGAGACTCATTCTCTAACGACGAATTATACGCTGGTCGCTTTTACGCCTCGCACGTGTACGTCACGAGAGTTTAGCCACGGTGTAACTTGAACGCACGCTGGACATCAAGTTGACGATGCTATCGGTATGTGTACGCTCGTACAAATTACCG